CCAAATGGTAAGCCGAATTCCAATGATGATTACATTTTTTTAGTTGTTTAATTTTCAATTGGAATTTGATTGCATAAGAATGTGTATTGGAAAAATGGAATTATAGGAAGAGAACAAAAAACAGTGTTTTTCAAAAAAAAAAAGAAAAGAAAAGAAAAAATTTTGCTTGCTGCAGAAGCTGCGATCTGTGAATATCTGTATCATGAATTCGAGGGTTTTTTTTTTCTTTGTTCTTCATTGATATAGTATCTATTATTATTGTGTTTTTTTCTTTTGTCTTATATCTTTTTGCCTTTTAATTTTTAATATTACATTGCAAATAGACGGTCAGAATTCTAACGTATAATTTAAAAGTTGATATTTAATCATTTAAGTTGTAGTTAGATTGACGATTTTTGCTATTCTTGTAATCGTGGAATTTTTGCTCCTAGTGCTAACATATATGAATGCGAAATTTAAAATTAATTACAAGTATATTATTTGGGAAAAAGAGAATTAAAAAATTATTCTTAAATGATGGTACGACTGTGTTGTAATTGTCATGTGTTCCATATTCATTTACTGGTTTTTTTGAAAATAAAAATTATGTTTTAAATATGAGGATGTTTGGGAATTTATTTTTGGATTTTGTGATAATCTGTAGTGATTTTTTCTAAATTTTTGGATGATTTATTAAATGGTTAATAAAGATGTGATTTTAAAAACCCTTTTGTTTTTCTTCTGTTTTTCTCTATTAAAATATGCTCCAAAATTATTTCTTAAATTAACTACTTCTGGAAGTTTACAAAGATTTTTTCGGACTACGTTACAAAAACAACTTAGGTCTGAAATAATTGTAACATAAATTTTAGAGAAAAATCATAAATTAAAACCAATACTCAAGAATGAAAATGTAGGAACTCAGTTAAAAAAACTGAAAATATATAAACTGAAATTTTAAAATAAGAACATTAAGATACATGCAACAACCCCAAATGAGAATTATTAAAAGAGATGGTTATATCAAAGGAATTAGGAACTCTTTGGTTACTGAACCCCTAGTTCTCGAACACTAAAACCCTCGACAAGAGTTGAACACTCCACAAGATAGGATGATCGATCAATACTTGAACGTTCTTGGCACGGATTCAAATAAACATGAAATAACAATAGGTTCAAGAAAGCTTCGTGGCTAAACTTGAAAGGAAAACCTCGGTGGCTAAAATTTCATTAAAATGGATTTATCTCTTAAACAACGTCAGACTTCAGATCCCCCTCCAAATAAACCATAAATCATAAAAATAAAAAACAAAATGATTGAAATATCCCTACTCAATATGTTCAATAAAGGGTAAAATTAGAAAGAATAAAAATTACATAAAAAGTCGAAAATAAAAGTTTATCCTAATTCAAAATCCTATGGGCATTCATATCAGGTGGTACACAAAAAATATGAACTTTCAAAAGTTTCATTTTTACCCTTTAACCTTAAAAAATTGTTTCAAAAGAACCATTCAATCCACTTTTCATTTAAAATAAAGATAGAAATGTGCCGTGATAGTGAATCGTAAAAATAGCATACGGGCACAGATATCATGTATCAATTATGCTCTTGAACTTTAAGGTATGTTTCAATTATGGTCCTTTGTTTTGTAATTTTCATTTTAACTCTTAATCTTTAAAGTTGTTTCAAAACAATCATTATTCTTTTAGCTCCAACTGTTGTATATTGATTATGAAGCGCCAAGCATTGGTACTTCGCGAATAGTTATCAGGCACACTTCGAATGGTACTTCTCTTTCGATATCTCGTCAAAGCTGTACAACTCTTCATTCAAGGAGTGTACTCGTCATAAACTTGACCATAAATAGAAAGGCCGACGATTTTCTTTAGGTCCCACAAGGTTTGTTTCTTCCGATTTCGGATATTCGTCTCCTAGCTCCACTACTCACAAGCTCCCTTAACGATAAATGTTTGCATTCCTGTGGTAAGACTCTTGTGCGACTATGACATGACCATAAGTTGTAAAGGTGGAGGTTACATGTGGCATTGAGTTGCAAGGGAGAAAAAAAAATTGGGAGTTAAAGAGTTCTATTGGATATTGCGGGGAAGCCATACATTGTAAGAAAACTCATGGACTAGTAAAAATCAACAATTTTAATGAGCAAAAGTTGAAGGAGAGTGAAATGATAAGAGAGAAAGTTTCACAAAGAATATGTTCATATGAGAAAAACTACGGAAAGAGTTGGGTCGGTCGAAAGCGGGTTCATGGGAGTAGAAGAACAACAAAGAAAATGATTGACTGACGATGGAAGATAATTTTCATCTTCAAAGATAAGCAATTTATCCAGCAATAGTGGTCCTTAATTATGTTTCATTATCAGGTGAATCAAAACAATTTCAAACTCTTGCGCCCAAGGAGTAGGTCTCGTTGACAAAGACATAGGACTTTATAATATAACCGACCAAGGATTGGGACGTAATTGAAGCTTAACCTAAAGTTCAATGACATATTTAAAACCTGCCACATATGTCTACGTGTACATATATCTCTATTTTTTTTAACCACTTTCACCACATCACATTTTCGTCTTCATTTTAATACAAAATTTGATGAAAGGATTGTTTTGAAACAAATTTAAAGGTTAT